CAGAATTTCCCTGTACCTTTGCTTATAATTTGACTTCAAATTAATAATAGCTATTTACCAAGTATAGAGGGTGATTTTTTTTATAGACTTTGTATTTTAGAGACATTTTACGTTCACAGAAAAATTAAGCAGAAAGTAAAGAGAATTCCCATTTACCTCTGCCCCCTACAGGTGCTCAGCCATGTCCACTGTCAGCATCCCACACCAGAGTGGAAATTTGTTACAATCAGGGGTAACCTATGAAGACAATTAAAGCTCTTTAACACTGTGCTGATAGTCCAAAAGTGCTACACTTTGTTCAGAATTTTTTGGAAACTCTCATTAAGTGCTAACTTTAGAATCAGTTGTTATGGCACAGAGGAAATGAACAAGATTTCTTTGTTCTAGCCTATTCATGGTTTTGACTAGAAAATAATATAACTTAATCACTGACCATATTCATCAGACTTGGCTTTGAATGACCTTTTAGCTATTTATACAAATTTAACTTTCCTCTAAAGATCAAGTTTTACCACCACTTGAGTTGTTCAAAAAGATGCTTTGTGGATCAGGCACATGACATTTTCTATATTTCATTGTCATTATTTCCATGGTTGCTGGTGCAGACTCCTTCAGGAGGTGGACTACCTATCATTGATTTAACCTCTGTCCTCTACCCCTGCAGCTTTTTTTTACTTAACAAAGAAAGTGTGTTAGGCACACACTCAGAATCTACAGATTCATGTTACACAATGCTCTGTTATTTAGTTTAACAAGCAAATACTCACGCAGTACCTAGTATGCGCCAGCATTGTACAAATAAAACTTCATTTAATTCTCGTAATGACCGTATGAGCTAGGTAACTCTTTTACAGAAGAGTTCATTGAGGCACAGAGAGGTTAAGTAGTATCTGGGTTCTAGGAGGCATCCATAAGTGATGAAAGGAGGGGACTTTCCCAAGGTTACTGCTTTAAAAGAACACAGCATATTTGAATGTTTAAGTTCTAAGATGCTTGACTGGAAACCAGATCCTCTACTTTAAGATCCCATCTTGTTTACTTAGCTTCTCGCTTTGCTCAGGGGCTACGGTCTTTTCCTGTATCAGACCTGAGGGCTGAAAGCGTTATTAGACTTTCTTCTGAGTAGTGGTCTTAGATTATTTTGATGTGTCATGAGCACTTTCATTGCAGAAAGAGTGGACTCCAGAGATTGTTATTTCAGGACATTTTGATGGTGTCCAAGACCTAAAGTGGGACCCAGAAGGAGAATTTATCATCACCGTTGGTACTGACCAGACAACTCGACTTTTTGCTCCGTGGAAGAGGAAAGACCAGTCACAGGTGAAATGTCTTCCTACTTGATGGTCTGCTTTAAAACACGTCCATGAGCACGTAGAAGGCGAGGCAGCATCATTAGCCATTAGGGAAATGCAGATTAAAGCCTTGATGAGTTGCCACTACACACCCACTACAATGGCTGAGGTGTAAACTACTGAGGGTGGTAAGGATGCAGGCTGACTGGAACTTTCATACATTACTGATGGGAATGCAAAGTGGGATAGCCACTCTGGAAAGCAGTTTGGTATTTTCTTAAAACTTAAGCATTCCAAAGAAGACATACAGGTGGCTAACGGACCCATGAAAAGATGCTCAGCATCTTTGTTGAGCTGATCATCAGGGAAATGCAAGTCAAAACCACAGTGAGATACTCCCTCATACCTGTCAGAATGCCTAGCATCAAATAGATAACAAGTAACAAGTGTTGGCAAGGATGTGGAGAAGAGGAGCCCTTGTGCACTGTTGGTAAGGTTGTAAATTGATGCAGCCAGTATGGAAAATGGTATGAAGTTTCCTCAAAAAATTAAAAATAGGACTACCCCACAATCTAGTAATTTCACTTCTGGTTACTTGTAGAAAACAAACAAACAAACAAAAAACTATTTCAAAAAGATACATTCACCCCTGTGTTTATTGAAGCAATATTTATAATAGCCAAAATATGGAAGCAACTAAGTATCCATTGATGAATAGAAAAAGAAGATGTGGTATATACACAATGGAGTATTACTCAGCCATTAAAACAATGAGTCATGTTGTTTATAACTGTGGGTGGATCTAGAGGCTGTTGTGCTAAGTGAAATAAGTCAGGCAGAGAAAGACAAAGACCATATGACTTCACTAAAATCTGGAATCTAAAAAACAAAACAAAATGCAAACAGACTTATAGATACAGAGAACAAACAGGTGTTTGCCAGAGGTGTGATGCTGGGTGAAATAAGTGAAGGATTAAGAGGTACAAACTTGCAGTTACAAGTAAGTCACAGGGGTGTGATACACAGCATAAGAAATGTGGTCAGTAATGTAATAACTTTATATGGGGACAGGTGGTTCCTAGACTTACCTTGGTAACCATTTCATAATATATTAAATGTCAAATCACTATGTGGTACACCTGAAACTAGCATAATACTATGTATTATGTCAACTATGTTTTAGTTTTTAAAAAAGCTTAAGCATACCTGTATTTACAATTCGAGCAGTTCAGATTTTAGTTGTCAAAATGTGTTTACTTCAGTTCCACATAAAAAATGTTCTTACACCTTGTAATTTTAGGTTTAATTCATTAAGAAACACTATCAAATCTGCAGTGAAAGCTAATGTCTAACATTATATAGCGTTACATAATAGTGGTTGAGGCCAGTTTTTGTTCAAGAAACTTTTCAGTCGTGGCCCTGAGCTTTAAAAAACCACAGTAAAACTTTACCACTGGTAAGACATTGAACTGTGTTGTGCCACAGAGAAAGTATTCTCAACTTCAGTTTCTGACAGAAATTCATGGAACTGATTATGGGTCAGTCCATGAGAGCTAATGAAATTTGCAACTGACATTTCTGCTTCAGCAGCACGTGGTGGATTAAAATTAATAGAGTCTAGAACATTGGGGACAACACTGTAGTCAAGTAAAAAATGAGGCAAATGATTTGGAGTGGTTTTCTGTGGCTCTTGGTGATTTGTTACCAGTATGACTCAGTTATTGTTTATTCATGATCCATTAAAAAAATCAATATATCAGACTTGACCAAAATGTGAATTTTCTGCTCTTTGAAAGATGTTGTTCAGGAAAATGAAAAGACAAGTCCCAAACTAGGAGAAAGCATTTACAAAGCACAAGTCTGATAAACGGTTTTTATCTAGAGTATATAAACAATTTTCACAATTCAATAACAAGAAAATAAACAACCCAGTAAAAAGAAAGGGCAAAAGATACTTCTCCAAAGGAGATAGATATATGGATGGAGATAGATAATGAGAACAAGAAAAGATTCTCAACACCATTAGTCATTAGGGAAATGCAAATTAAAGCTACAATGAGATACCACTGCACACTATGAGGATGGTTAAAGTTGAAAGATTGACCATACAGGTGTTGATGAGGTGATGGGCAGCTGGATCTCTCATACAACACTGCTGGTGGGATTGTAAAAAGTACAGCCACTTTGGGAAGTTATTTGGCAGTATATTGACATTTTAAATAGACATCTACTAAATCACCCAGTCTTCCTACCTATGGGTAGTATTTCCCCAAGAGAAATAGGAGTATGTACTTATGCAAAGACTTGTACACGACGAAAGTTCATGACTTTTTTCAGTAAAAGACCAAAACTGGAAACAACCCAAATGTCTATGAGTAGGTGAATGGATCAACAAGTTGTTGTAATGGACCAGGGCCCTATCAGGCCTTCCCGGGACAGACCCTCCCCCATATTCTCTGCTGTAGCTCCTCTCTGAAGTACCCAGATAAGAGTGACCAGAAATGGCTCCCTCATGGTAAAGCACGTTCTAGCCTGACTAAATTGCACATGTTGCCCTCTTCCTTAGAACACTCCCCCTCCCCCTTAAGCATCCGTTGTTCCAGGCATAGAAATGTCCGGAGATGTGACTCGTTAACTCCTGGTGCAGAAGGCAAACACCAGACCAAGGTCCATTGGAGGAGAGGACATGGTCTGATAGCCACAGAAACAGGAGGCTCCATCGACAGGTTTTCTTGACGCCAACGCAGAGCTGTGTCAGGGAGGAAAGTGCAGCCCCTGCACGTTCACAGATGTTTATCAGAAGCTCTGTTCTTGGACTCCTGCTGAAAAACTCCGTTACCCCTCCCCAAATCAGGGTTGCAGTCTTGAGGCATTAGCTTGCTGTGACCCCCTTTGCCTGGCAAAGAAATAAAGCTGTTCTTTTCTGCTTCCAAAACTCTGTCTCCAGATTTCAATTTGATATTGGGGCACAGTGGCTGTGAGTGAAAAAGATTGCACTATTGATGAACACAACAATATGGATGAATCTGCCTTATGGTCACATTTCCATGGCATATTGAAAGATTTTATATCTGAAATTTTGCTTGTTGAAAAGACTTCAGTTTTTGAAATGTATGATCATTTTTGTTTATCCTATTTTGATACCCAGGTGACTTGGCATGAAATTGCAAGGCCCCAGATACACGGATATGACCTGAAATGTTTGGCAATGATCAACAGGTTTCAGTTTGTATCTGGAGCCGATGAAAAAGTTCTTCGAGTATTTTCTGCACCTCGAAATTTTGTGGAAAATTTTTGTGCCATTACGGGCCAGTCACTGAATCATGTGCTTTGTAATGTGAGTATTCCTCTAAATGCTTTAACTAAATCTAGCCACTTCATTTAAAGTTTTAAAAAATTTTACTTAAGGCTGTAAATGGAGTATATGGGTAGAAAGGAAATCAAATCATGTTATTGGCCTGACAAACTTTTGTGTGTGCTGTGGTAGGCAGTAATTTAAATACTAAAATTAGAAATTTTATAACAAGTAAGCCCAAGACACTATAAAGAATTAAAATGTTAAATTAAGGCACAAGTACTGTGTATCATCACTGTGCTAACAAGTACCTACAATAAAACAAAGCATAACAGGTGGGTCATGTTTTCGAGGAGATTTCCTTCTAAATGTAGATTGGGGTGGGGCAGTGGAACTAGTGTACCTGCAGCTGTTAAGGTGACACCAGTTAATTGCTAAATCTTGTGGTGGTTAAAGTACATTTCATAGAAGAAAGTGGTCACTCTACTGGAATAACGAGAAAGTGGGGCTTCATTTGGGTTTTGAATGGGTAAGTTTTTATTGATTTTTGTTTCTGCCTACTTTCTACAGAAGATTTGAACGCTTATAAAAATGCGTAGGTTTTAAAAATTATAAAGTAAGCAGTTTTGGAGGAAGGGAAAGGAAGTAGGGAACGAGTTGTGTGTCACAGGCGTGCACATCGTACAGTCCTTTGCTGTGCTTAGAATTGGGTCCCAGATTTGCTTCTGAGCTTGAAAAGGATAAGTGCACTTTTGATAGGCAGAAGGAAGGAGAGAGAGAGCAGTGGGCAGCCAGAGCTGTTCGAATGAAGAGTATATAGAGGGAAATGGAGAGGCTGGGGGCAAGTCAAATGATGGAGGACTTCGGGAGGCAGGCGTAGTTTAGACTCTGGGGTACCAATGAAAGTCCTATACAAGGTGATGAGAAGCACTTTAAGGCGAAGACTTACATGGAAGCAGTATACACCTTTGAGCCCAGAGACTTTGAAGGCAGAGACGCTAGAACCAGTGTGGGTAAATCTGGAGAAGAAAGAATCATTTTAGAAGAAATGTCCAGTTAAGTTTCCTGGAGTGTATCAGGAGCTCCTCCTGCCAGGGGCTTTCTTGATTATGTGAAGAAGATGAAAGATTCTGCTGTGCTGTTTTTAATGCTAATGGACAGTAATGAGATCAAAAGGGAGGTCCTGATTGTGGTTACAAAGCTGAGCATATGGGGGTGGAAGGGTAGTTGTTTTGAGGATTTCACAGTTCTAGGGATTGAAAGGATTCCATAAGAGGCTTAGTCCCAGATATGTGTTTAGTTCTGTGTCCTGAGATACAGGAATCCTGTAGACTGGGAAGTTCCCATACTAAATGTTGGGATATGTAGGAATGCCTCTTATTATTTTCATAGTGTTTTGTTTTTCTTGGTTTCTGAAATAAAGCACACAGTCTCTCATGTCTCAGGTAACCATTCTTTGGTGATGATTTAAATTCCTATTGCAGATGTTTGTGTTGAGTTTCAGCCTCTGTATTAAAGTTTAAATCATTAGAAATGTTCTTAGTTTATGGACATGTGCCAATTTTGATGATTAACATACAGTTTCGTATGTAATAACTTCATTGATATAAATTGTAGCATATAAGCAGATTATTGCCACTTCAGAGGGCACTGCAACAAAGTTTTAAAATATTCAGAATTGTAAATACATTTAATGACAATACTATGACTGTGCCTTCCTGGGAAACATCTGTGTTTGCGTGAGCATCAACAGGGATGTGCCTGTGAGACTCTGGGAAGTAAAGCTCCAGGCCTTGCATTTTCAGCCCACTCTTTGCTAGAAGCCAGCAGTGCTTTCCTTTGTCAAACCTTGAAACCCATTGAGCTGACAGGGTTTGATGAGCTCATGGATGGGAGGATGCCCAACTCTGTGGATTGGGTGGGGCCTGGGAGTCAGCTGGAGCCTGGCTGCTGGAGGTGATTGCTTAACATTGCATCTCTTGGTTCAGGAAATGGAAGTGCGGGCAGATGTCCACACAAAATGGCCTTTATACTGCTTCTTAGCATTTATGTGCATGGCATTTTTTATAGTGTCTGAGATAAGAGTAACCTTTGGCATGTAAAGCATCTGTCATGCTTTTTATTCCAGCAAGATGGTGATCTTCCAGAAGGAGCTACTGTCCCTGCTTTGGGATTATCAAATAAAGCCGTCTTTCAGGGTAAGGCTTTCGTCTCCAAAATTATTGAACTCATAGTGGTACTTAAAACCTAGTTACAGACTTGTATAACATGTGCCTAATGTTCATTACAGGGTTTTGTTTGTTTGTTTTAATATCACAATACATGCATCTTTCTTCTCTATCAGATACTTCCTGGTAACTACTCTGTGTGCAAGGGCAGACCCTGAAATAGGTGCTGCTTTTACAAAGTGTATTTCATGGAGCACTTACAGCCATCGATGCTAATCTGGGGACCCTGAAAAATGTGTTCTGTAGTTTAAAAAGTTTGGGAAGTGTGAGCTCAAAAGAAAAGGAAGGACTCTCCATGGAATTGACTAGTTCTGTAAGGAGCACATTTGGAAAATATCAGCGTAGTGGAAGTACCCTTGGCTTTGCAGTCACGTGGCTGCAGCTCTGAATTGCACTACTTTGAAATGCCTCTACTTTCCAGCTAGTGGCATTAATACTAGGACATGTGTAGGAGACGTCAAGATGGTGACTACATTCATGATGTTGATGTGTTTCTTCTAAACTAGGAGATATAGCTTCTCAGCCTTCTGATGAAGAGGAGCTGTTAACTAGTACTGGTTTCGAGTATCACCAGGTGGCCTTTCAACCCTCTATACTTACCGGTAAGAAAAGGCACAAAGATGGTTTACTAGAATCATTTGTGTACATATTGCAGAATCTGTCACTGCTCACCTATAAGTGCTATGGAATTTGTTTGCTTGCATGAAAATTGCAATGTTGTAAATTTGTTGTAGAACCTCCCACTGAGGACCATCTTCTGCAAAATACTTTGTGGCCTGAAGTTCAAAAACTGTAAGTTAAACTGTACTTAGCTCTTTGGTCTGATTCTGTCCTAACTTGTGATTCCCTCCCCGCCCTCCATCCCCAACCTGATTTTCTCCTTTGCTTTCCTCTTACCTACATTTTCCCACCTGCTCTAGAGTTCCTTTCGTGGCCTTTATAAGGGGCGAGAATCAAACTTTGTTTTATATTGCTATGCATTATATTTACTAGATTTTATTGGTCTTAATTTTTAAAATAGAGAGGCATAACACTATATATATATTTTTTTCCTTTAAAAAAACATTTTTAAGTTTTGTTATTCTCTCAGTTTTTTTTTCCTGCAGTGGTTCCCTGTCAAAACCTTTCCATGGTTTATTGTTTATTCTATCTGGCTTGGGGTGAAAACTTGTATTTAATCTAGTTGTTGGAATAAGATGTATTACTTTTAGGGAGTTGACATTTTTCTCCAGTCCCTCTGTTTTTTCCTGAAATATTTGCCTAGACAAAAACGAAATGTTTCTTAAAAGCACTGTATGTTAACCAGAGAGATTGATGTTATTTTCACATTTAAAAATTTTGCAGCATGAGAATAGGTACATTTACTGATACAGGGGTCATCCGTTTTCTCTTTTTAAATTTTAGATATGGACATGGTTATGAAATATTTTGTGTTGCTTGTAGCAATTCAAAGACTCTGCTTGCCTCAGCTTGTAAGGTAGGGAATTTTTTTTTATTCTACTTGGTCACAGGTTGTTTGAGTCGTCAGGCTCCTGCAAGTTTAGTAGTGATTTGGACAGAGTTCAACCCAAAAGGCCCCAGGTGCCTGCCTTTTCTGACTCTTGCTTTCTCACTCTCTTTTCCTTTCTGTCCTTCAGCAGCTTGTAGTTGCATTTTCAATCTGCTTCAGCTATACATTTTGTTCTTAAATACTTGATTTGATCTGATTTATGCCCCTATTCAGAAACTATTTAATTGAGGGAAGGGTATAGCTCAGTGGTAGAGTGCATGCCTAGCATGCACAAGGTCCTGGGTTCAATCCCCAGTACCTCCATCAAAAAAACCAAACAAATAAATAAACCAATAAACCTAATCCCCCCCACTGCCAAAAAAACACTATTTAATCATATCTTAGAATGAGATCTAAAAATGTGATATACAGACTTTTAGTAATGAGAGTTCTGGGGACACAGGGGAATGAGAAGGTGAAGCCTAGGGTGCCCTCCACCTGACCATCTCTCAAGGACACTCTGGGTACTGACCTAAGTGAATAGAGTCCCTTGGCCCTTGCCAGGGTGAGGCAGGGTGGAGGCCAGCTCACTGAGCCACCAGCACGTGGCACCGCTGAATACTGTGCCTCACACATCTGCCTGGGAGAAGGATCCTGAACTTGCTATTCAGTATTTATCTGTAATCTGTGGAGGCGTATCTGAAGTGTCTGAGACCCACATACTCCTCTAAATTTCCCAAAGTTTATTTACTTGTTTTAAGTAAGGAAATAAATTGATTTACTTGTTTTAAGCGTGATGATGAGAGCTGCCCACCTGTATGGGCACCATTTTTTTTTTTGTATGTTTGTTTTTCGTCTCTGCTTTTGCTGCGGCTTCTTGCTGCCGCCTGTAGAAGGGGCATCAAGACATGTTGTCACGCTCCTGCCCCACCCCCTTGCTTGTTGTCACCTTTGTGAGGGTGGTCCTGGGAGTACTTCCTTCTGTTATTACAGGGGCCTTTGGGAAGAATAGAGCTTAAGAGCAGGAATAACTGTGCTTCCACTGAGCAGCTAATTTGTTTTAGCTTAGGGCGCTGCCAATCATGTACTTGATTATTTCCTCCTTTTCAAGTTGGCTCCTTTGTAGCAAGTATGTGCATCTCTTTTAAACTAACATTTTTAACAGCTTTCTTTAGGTGTCATTAGTGTACTATAAATTGCATGTTGAAAGTGAACAGCTTGATAAATTCTGACATATGTTTATACCTGTGAAGTCCATACCATAATCAAGATAATGAACATACCATCACATAGTATTTTGGAGTGCCATTATTTCATGAATTTTGTCTTCTAGTTTTTTTCACACAAGCAAGTAAATCTGGTCCCTTTTACTCAATATTGACCAGAAGTGAAAGCCTCTATACCACTAATTATGTAATTAATACCCAAATATATTCTTCTTGTAAAATATTAAAGTGGTATGGAGGTTCCTCAAAAAATTAAAAATAGAACTATACCCTATGATCTGGCAATTCTGTTTTTTGGTATTTATCCAAAGAAAATGAAAACACTTATTTATAAAGATATATGTACCCCTATGTCCATTGTAGCATTATTTATAATGGCCAAGATATGGAAGTAACCTAAGTGCCCATTGGTAGAGGAATGGATAAAAAAGGGGTGGTGTGTGTATATGTACATATATAAATATATTTTTTATACATACACACACATACACAATGGAATATTACTCAGCCATAAAAATAAAGAATGAAATCTTGCTGTTGGACCAAAAGGGTAAGTGAAGTAAGTTAGAGAAAAACAAACACCATATAATTTCACTTATATGTGGAATCTGAAAAGCAGAACAAATGATACAAAACAGAAACAGATTCATAGATACAGAGAATAGGAGTTTGTTGGGGTGGGGGGTGATGACCAAAGTAGGTGATGGGGCATTAAGAGGTACAAACTTTTACTTATAAAATAAATAAGTCACAGGAAAGTAATGTTCATCTGGAGAATATAGTCAATAATGTGGTAACAACTTTGTGTGGTGATGGATAGTAACTGGGCTATAAGTGGTGATCATTTCATAATGTGTAAGAATATTGAACCACTGCTATATTGTACATCAGACACTAGTATTATTCGTGTGTTAATTATAATTCAATTTAAAAAATTCTGCTTACAGTGCCAGTCTCTAATTATTCATCATTTGTAATCCCAGTCTTTCTCTTCTCAAAGGTACACCTTTTTAGAGTATTTATAGTACCTCCTCAGCATTTGTGTGTTTTTTTAAATTTACACACATGTGTAAAATACCCCATGGAAACAATTTTTATTTTGAAAAAAATTTTTTTTTCAGTTTATTTCTACTTAAATTGCTTTACTGTTTCACTTCTGTCCTATAGGCAGCTAAGAAAGAGCATGCAGCCATCATTCTGTGGAACACTACATCTTGGAAGCAGGTGCAGAGTTTAGTTTTCCACAGTCTGACTGTCACGCAGATGGCCTTCTCTCCTGACGACAAGTTCTTATTAGCCGTTTCCAGAGATCGGACCTGGTCCCTGTGGAAAAGGCAGGACACAATCCCACCCGAGTTAGGTAAAACAGCGCCTGGTTGGGAAGATTCTTAGTGAAGCATTTATGTCCATTTTACCCACCTTGAGCAGCTGTTGGGTGAAGAGAAACATAAGTGATAACAAGGAAAAGGGCAGAGACTGGTGGTTGTGAGTCTTCCAGAGTTCTGTGACAGCTTCCTTGTGAGGATGGTGTGTATTCAGGCATCTCAGTTAAAGAAGCCAGCTTCTACTCTGGGCCTGGCATAAGCTGAAAAAAGTTGAAAAGGAAAAAAGGCTTTGTGTGGTTGCAGCAGTGGCCTGTTCTTATTCCTCCAGTTTAATTGAGTGGGTAAAAGCGAATGTTTAAAGTACTTTTGTGTTGTTTAATCCTGTTCTTAATTTTCCATTGATATAACCTGCATGCAGCTTGATCTTACGATATGTCTGGTCCTTTAGTATTTTGTATTTTAGACACTACCAGGGACTGTGACACATACTCAGCAGTATATGTTAGAACAGACTGATTTCTTTTGCAACTGGTGATTTCCTAACATGCAACCTTTACTTTTTAAAAAGTTAAAGTGATACTAATAACAAATCCATTAATTTGTTATATCTTTATGGATTGTAGATTAATAGGTATATTAATTTGCCCTCCATACACAGTTATGTCTTTTAGGTTTAGTCCATATGAGGGCTAGAAGTTACTTTACACTTAAATCTGACAAAGGAAAATAATATAAGTTTTTTTTTAACATTATTTAAGGGTGCATTAATCTTTTTTTTCCCATAGTTAATATGCAAATTTGGCTACTTCCTGAATAAGGTTTAATTTCTTCAGGCTCCTTCCATAGGCATAAATTGAACCTTTAATTAGTGTCTAGAAGATGTCTGGCATCAGTCACTAGAGAGTGACTAGTCAATATAAAAGCATTTCCTGCTAGAAAAATAACTGTATACCTGTAGTATTCTGGTGAGGGGTCAGCTGCCTGGCCTTGGTCTGTTGCAAAAGTCAGTGTATATATTACTAAATTAATGCTGTATGTACATGGCACTTAAATATAGCTGTCTACCAGGTAAATAGCTTTCTCTGCTTTGTGAGGAGTGCATACGTGTTTCTTTCAGACCCAGTTTTCAGTCTCTTTGCCTTCACCAACAAAATCACTGCTGTGCACAGTAGAATCATTTGGTCTTGTGATTGGAGTCCTGATGGCAGGTATTTCTTCACTGGAAGTCGGGACAAAAAGGTAATTTTTTTAACTTAGTATTTTTTCAAATGTAAAATAGTAGTATTACAGGTATGTTTGGATAGAAAACACACAATCCTTATTTTCTGATACAACTTTAAAAAATCAGCTTGTGTATTCCATTCTGTGTTTTTCAGGGGCATACATAAAAGGCTTTTCTTGTTCAATTGTATAAATATGTGTCTCTGAAATATCAAATAGGAAAAGAAAACCCTTCAGACATATGATCTTCATCAGATGGCCCCAGTGGGAGAAAAGTAGTCAATGAAATGGGTCAGGATGAAGGAATTAGGAGAGTAGGAGTGGGTGGAGGGAAAGATAGCTTCTACTTCTGTTTTTCATGCTTTTATGAATTTAAAATCCTTTCCATAATGAATGGATATTACCTTTTCATTCAGCGGTAGACGCTGGTATGTGTGTGTATGTGTCCTGAACTTTGAAAAAAAATTAAAAGGAATTAGTCAGCAGTAGGTTCTTGACCATGGCCCTGGTTCTCTGGGAGATGTTCACCTGGCCTCTGGTCTTTCCGCAGTTTTCCTGCTCTTGAAAACGTCCTTTCCTTTTTCTGCAGTTCCCGCAGACTAGAAGTGCTGAGGCTCCTGAGCGCTTCCTGTCCTCTCCTGCCCTTCCCCGTCGTACTCAGGGCGCAAATTACCAAAGTGGAGGACTAATGTGGGCATGTTGTCACTCAGTGAAACACTGAAATGTCAGCCTCTGAAATGCTTTCTCTCAGCCCTTCATTTCTGTCATTTGCCTAGTCATTTCTTCCCTGGCATTTGTCCTCTTATTCTTTGCTAGCTGCTAAGCCAGCAGGACTGCGTCCGCCCTCCAGGGTCACATCCAGTAGCAGATGGCCCAGCTGTGGCTCTCAGATAGGTCAAGGCTGAAGCAGACAAAGCATCGTTCACTGCGCAGTCTCAGAACTGCACTTCTGCTCACGGGGGCAGAGCCTTCTGCTCGAAATCTTGCTTCGGTCCTGCGTTCTGCAGCTGTTGTCCGTTTCACTGCCCTCTGTTTTCTTTGTGATCAGTCACATCACTTTGAGGCATGAGCTACCAGGAAAGCCTCATTTCTTATGTGGTGTATCATCCAGGTTAGGACCTCCTGACAGCTGAGCTGATTCCCTGAGCAAGTGGGTGGTGTAGCAGAAGAGTCAGGGACTTGGTTGGCTTCATACATTTTGTGGGAATTTCTTGGGGAGGTGCCTGAGCACCTTGATGAGGACATGACGGATAGACTTTCCCTGAATCAAAACAGGTTTCCTGCGTGTAAAGAGCAGGCTAGATGCCCCAGTCTCTGGGCAGGGACAGTTGTGTTGGGAGTACATCTGGGTACTTGAGGATCACAGACTTGTATCTGCTACAGTAGCTTCTTTGTGGTGCTTGAAATGCTCAGAAGCTCTGAAACACAAATGAACGTGATACATTTTTTAAAAATACCAGGGTGTTATCTCTGCCATTGAAACTCTAATGCATCGCTAGACCTTGCAAGCAGGAAGCTTTACAGAGTTTGGTCTGTCTGTGTTAGGTGGTTGCTTGGGGCGAGTGCGACTCCAGCGACGACTGCCCTGAGCACAGCATCGGCCCCTGCTCCTCTGTCCTGGACGTGGGTGGAGCTGTGACGGCCGTCAGCGTCTGCCCGGTGCTTAACCCTTCCCGACGGTCAGTCTCTGGGGCTTCATTTTATGTCTTCTTTAAGAAGATCACTTGGTTTCTCAATATATAGCCCTCTTATTTTTTCATCTGTGGGTTCTCTTGGCTTCCAAGTTGCTTTTTTTTTTTTAATAATGCTAATGTTTCTTGTAAGAATTTCTAAATTGATAAAACTTGCTGTTATTTAGAGTGGTGAAATAGATTGGGAGTATGGCTCAAAGGCTCTTATTTCACCGACTGTAGACTTTGGTGCCTTCTGCATAATGAATGTCTTCAGTAGAACGAGGGCCCCTGCAGCCCGCCAGGGAAACACTGGCCCACGGGCCTTGTCAGCAGAGGACAGAGGTGAAACTGTGTGCAGCCTCGACGGAGAGGAGGCTTGTCGAGCACACAGTAGAGCAGTGCACGGTGTCTTGGACCTGCACTTTTAAACAGTCCTTTGTAAGCCAGGGACGGTCGGGAGCACTGTGAGGGACTGCTTTAGATTGATGCTGGAGAGCACAGAAATCCACGCTAAATTAATCCCTGTCTTCCCCCTTTCCCTTAAAAATAGATACGTTGTTGCAGTAGGATTAGAGTGTGGAAAGATTTGTTTATACTCCTGGAAAAAGACTGATCAGGTTCCAGAAATAAATGACTGGACCCACTGTGTAGAAACAAGTCAAAGGTATTTTCTTCCTATTTTTACTTCCATCAGATTACATAGAAATCATGGAGTCTTTAAGTGGCACATCTTACGCCATGTTTGCATGGAGAGGCACACGTATCTCTGTTTGTGGTACTTACCCCTCTGTGTTTTGCATAGTCTCTTGAAATTGACATTTGTTACTACATTGTACGTGGTTTTTAAAAGTTTCCTTGACCAAATTGCTTGTTTGCCTAATATTGTCTTTACAGACAATGCATTTGAAACGAAAGTGATTCTCATAATGATGGGTTTCAAAGTTTGACTACAGTAGATTCTTGATAAAATTTGATTCAAAATGGTGGTGATTTTTTTTGAAATATTATAGATTGTGTTTGGGAGTCAGTTCTTGGGTTTGAACTCTTAAGCGCACATCCTGTTAAGTGTGCCTCAAAACCCATGACCCGTCTCCAGGCACAGTAAGGGCTCCCTGAGCCTCATGCCCTAGGGCCCAGAGAGAGTGTATTAATATGAACATCTTGCCCAAGGTCATGCCATTAGAGGTTATATTGGAGACCAGGCTTCTTTCCCTGGGCAGTTTATTAAATCGTTCACTGTCTTTCCTTACCCAGCGTTAAAAATATGAGTGAGAGTCCATTCAAGTCACAGGGATGTCAAAAGAATCAAATAATGTAGAATATGTTGCAATGTTGGAATTCTTAAAAAAAATGCATTTAGTAATGTTATCTGAAAAGACTGATTTTAATAGCCATTTCATGAATTTCGCTGATCATTAAAGCAAAATTTGACAGAAATGCATTGTCTATTTCTTGTTCTTTTTGGTGGTGTCCTTGGTCAGTAAGATGTTTTCAAGGTTAAAATAAAATTGCTAAAATATTAGTAATCATATTTTAAAATCTGTACGTTTTGATGTTCAAGTTTTAACTTCCATTTATGTTAACAACATTAATAGCAAAAGCGTACTAATTGAATTGAGTATGTAGTTGAGCACCCAGTAAAATATCTCATAGTCATAGCATACGTTCATTTCATGATTTCTTTATCTTTGTTTTAGCCAAAGTCATACACTTGCTGTCAAAAAGTTATGCTGGAAGAATTGTAATGGACAGACTGAACAGAATGAAGCAGAAGGCGCTGAATGGTTACACTTTGCAAGTTGTGGTGAGGATCACACTGTGAAGATACACAGAGTTAACAGGTGTGCGCTCTAGTGGACTTAACTACAAGCATATACTCGGTGTCATAAAGTATTTATTATGTAAATAGATGACTTTTCTTTACCTCATAATTTCTTCAAGTTTCATTCTTAAGTCCTATCGCAGCCGTCCTTTTTTGGGCACAGGCCCTTTGAAATCTGGTGAAAGCTACAGACTCTTTTCTTAAAATTTTTGTATATGCACACACCCTCACAACCTGGCCCATCCTTTCAGGGATTCAGACCTGCATCTGTGTGTCCCAGTTTGAGAGCCTCTGTTCTTTTTTTCTTCAAGACCAAATATGCCTAATTCTGTGTTATTTTGGGCCTTCTGTTTTCACATGCTCCTCTTTGGGACATATGATTGTCTATTACTGTCCTCTGAGGGAGGACAGAGAAAATAAAAAGAGATAAAACCCAGATTACTCAACTTTTATTTTAACAGTTTTTGTAAATGAACAGACCACACAAAGTGTTGTCTGGAGCCCTTCCTCTCAGTCCACACCAACCATTCCAGGAATTTGGCAGGTCGTTGTGCGTTTGAACTGCAGTCAGTCCTTTCTCTTATAAAAGTGCATGCATTCTTCATGGGGGAGAGTACAGCCCAGTGGTAGAGCACATGCTTGGCATGCACGAGGTCCAGGGTTCAGTCCCCAGTACCTCCCTTAAAATAAATAAACCTAATTACCCTCCACCCCAATTTAAAAAAAGGGATATAGATTTTTCTTTCAGGGTTTGATTTAAAACAGGATATCCCAACATTTAAACTGAGAGATGTAGAGGCTGAAAAATAGAGTTCTGCATTTCTGTGAAGTTGCATAAGTGAGTCATGAGGGAAAGGATGAAGTCATGAGAGCAAAGATGTCCCCCAGGGAGAGTGAGCAGTGGGAGCAGAGGGGAGAGAAACATGCCAGAAAGACAGTGTTGGGTGTGCCCGCTGCAGTCTGGGAGGCGGGCCATGAGAGTTGAGCGCGTGGGGATTGAGTGGAGAGAGGTTAGGAGAGGGTGTGAGAGAGACTGCAAAGTTTCATGAGAGCAGAGGCTTCCCCGGCCCCGTGGGACCGTGGGGTCACGTGGCGAGTTTCCACATAAATGCATACGGCACATAATAAACACGATGACGGAAGGGAGGTGAGGGTTTTCTTGGGTGGAGTTTATGCCAGTATCTAACATGACATTTTGCTTCCAAAGGAGTTAAGTGACCCTTAGTCCAAACGAAGATTTTTAGACTAGAAATATCCAGTATTTCTAGTCCAATAGAAATACAGTGTGAGCTGCCTATGTAATTTAAATTTTTCTAGTAACCCACATAAAGTAAAAAGAAAGAGATATACTTTATTTTAATGACATATTTCTTTTAACCCAGTATATCCTAAATAGTATGATTTTAACATAGTCAGTATAAAAAATTATCGAGATATTTTACCTTTTTTGGTGTATAAAATATTTGCACACTACCAACCAAGTGCATTTTACACCTTGGGCCCATCTCAGTTTGGACTAGCCACATCTCAGGTGCTCAGCAGCCTCATGTGGACAGTGCAATTCTAGGCTGTCGAATCTGCGTAAACTTGTCTTACACCCTCAGAGGTGCGTGTGTTCGTGTGTGTGTGCGTATGCAAGCGTATGTGCTCGTGTGTCAGTGTGTATGCACCAAGGAGTGAGCACCTGAGCCTCCCAGCCTCAGAGACCAGGATGCCATGAAGTGTGATGACTTTGTTTCTCAGCTGAAGGATCTGAGTCTTCCCACTGGTACGCAGCCATTCAGCTCCCTGTGGGATTCCAGGGCAGATTCAGTGCACTGATGGTCCTTCAGAGCCTTTGCCAGCACAGAACTCAACCCTCTAAGGGCTCTTGAAAGCAGGCCCAGCAAGTTTGTGGTTGGTTACTGTTTCGCCTGTTGTAAATAGTTTTCCCAAGTTGTCCTGAAGCATCTCCCTCAGTAATCACCTGTGTAATTCTGTTCAGTAAGCGTTCCCAGGACCTGCTGTACCTTTGGGCAGTATATTGTACTTCACACACGTACATTGTGATTTTACCAGGATGGTCTTAATCTGCTAAAGGAGAGCATTCTGAACCGTACTGCAGTCATTCATAACATCTAAAACAAACAGGCAGTCTTGGCACTTTGCCCCAGAGGAGCTGAAGAGTCTATCAGAATCCCCATCCTGCCCTTCCCTGCTTTCCCTGATAATTTCACTTCTCTGCCCGATTCACAGCATTGAAGTTCAGACTGATGCCAAGAGCCAGCCTAAGCAGTTGCTGTCTTCTGACCTGTAGGGCTTTCCTAGATGGAGTAGGGGGGATGGGGTTGTGTTCCCACGACAGGTTTACCTTGGACATCAAGGAGCCAAATCACTGTCTTCGCAGCAGCCTCAGAGGAAGCAGAGGTGGTTACTGATTCCAGAGAGAGACTGTGGGAATTGGAGGGAGGCTGTGCCTATTCAGGAATAAAATGAAGGGACACAATTGTTCTCTGTCTTAGAGATTGTGGCCACCATAGAAAATCCTGGGTCGTCTGTAAGAAGAATGCAAGGTCTTCTACCCACTTTTGTGCAAATTTTATGCTTCTCAAGGCAGTCTGGGTGAGGGTTGGAACCCAGATGTAAGGAATAAGAAGTGTGTTTGGATCCTGGCTCACAGTAGCTGTAACTGTGGGTAAGTTTTCCCCCTCATCTCTGTAAGTAGAGATGATATTAATGGGACCAGTCCGACCTCGATTCTGCTCTGAAAGAAAACAAAATGTTTTTTCTGGCTTATTGCAAGATAGAAGTTCTCTGTCTCAAAAGGAGTCAAGGTAGGCAGACCAGGTTGAGCTGGGGGACTTCTCCGTGTGACCAGGGGACCTGGGCTCTCTGCCCCCACCCTCAGTATGTGGCATCCTCGCTATCCAGGCTGGCTGCTTGGCCTCCTGCTGTGATCTTTGCATTCCAGCCAGCAGGGCATAAGAAAAGGCTTGCCTCTAACTTTAAGAAAGCTTGGAAGTTCATAGGGTTCTACTTAATCTCTGTGGCCAGTTTGATACCTCAAAAGAGGCTGGGAAATGAAATCTTTTCTTGCAGGTCGTCATGTGCTTAGCTGAGAACTGAGATTGCTTTATTCTGGAAGAAAGAACAAATGTCAGTTTCATGTCATAAAAAGTGTCATTTCATAAAACCTCAAGGGTTGTTTGGAGGATTAAGTGAGCCAGTGCATGAAAAACGCTCGCCCAAGGCCTGGTTGTGGTAAGACACTAGTGATTGGTAACTGTTACTATTGGGGTGAAGTGAAGTGAAGCTCATTTCAGCTGCATAGGGTCTTTATTAATCCCCCTCATTTCAAGTATTCTTTCTCTGAATTCATAGTATTTTATTCTCATTTTCTTTTGTTACTTCCTGTCTTTTATTAGTGTATGTCTTAAGCTGTATCAGTTAGATGCTTTCTTCGGTAAGAAAGTTTGTCTCAAGAAGATACAGGGAATTATCAGCTCACATCACTGAAGAAAGTTCAGTGGTAGGACAAAGCCCAGTTATAGTGTGTCCGGGGCAGTTTCCTTTTCTCGAATTCTCTCAGCTCTGCCCTCTCCACATGTCAGTCTTCCTCTAAGACTGCCCTCCCTTGTGGCTACGAGATGGAGGAAAGCAGCCCTCGAGGCTACAGATCCTCTTGCTCATTCATATCAAAAAGAATAACCCTTTAAACATGAGGTCCCTAGCTTTCCTCTGACTGGTCCATCCTGAACTAACCACAGTGGGCAGAGGAAACCAGCATTGAGTGGCTGGGGCCTGCCCATCTGATGTAGCAAGAGCGTGAGATTACCTCGCCTGGAGCTGGAGGGAGGTGGGTCCCATTAGGACCACATGGTTGCTCTACGTGGGGGAGGTTTTCCAAAGCAAAATCGGAGGGGCAGTGGGTCCTGGGTAGGTGACCAGTGAAAGCCAGGTATACAGGCCTACCAACGCCCAAGCATCAGGGCATCAGATTTGTTTTCTTCAGCACGTGGCACAGTGTGTCCAGCACAATGTGCTGTCAAGTGTTCGCTGCATTCAGGAATAAGTTTGATAACTCTGGCTGGCGGAGGAAACATCCTCTAGTGTAATCTGCTGGTCAGTGAATAGAATGATTGGTATCAGATCCTTTCCCTGTCTTTGGTGGCATAAAGAGGGAGGGGACAAAGAGCAGGAAGGAGATGTTAACACAGAAGCAACAAGAAAAGGGGATCTTGGCTCAGCCTGCCCTTGAATGAACAGGGAGAAGCTGGGCCCCCAGGAAAAGGGCCCCAGGAAGACCCCTGCTCTGGGCCCACCCACCCTCTCACTGCCTAGTGCTGGCGGGATTGTGTTGTTGTGAATATAATGGAGCCTTGTTCCCAAACATACCATGATTTGGATCTGCCCTTTTAGCTTCTATTTGCAGAAAATGTCTGCTGTCTCTACAGGGGAGGGAGCTTCCTGGGGTTTTCTGATCTTTCTTTCCGCTGCTCTCAAGTTGTTTCCACTGCTCTCAAGTTGTTTCCACCAGAGCTTCCACCCTGCCAGGCTTTGGGGAGGTACCTGCTCCCCGGCTGGCTGTCTCTTCCTGCTTCCTGCTGTGCTGGCCCTCTTCTGATTCTCCATTAACATCTGGGTCAGCAGGCTCTCATGGTTAGCGAGGTATGCATTTCACAGCGGGAAACACTGATTTCACTATCCAAACCAGGTTCAGCCTCCTCTAAAATACCCACCACCATTCCAACTACTTGGCAGGAAATGTGTTTTTTTACTGGAGGTACTGGGGATTGAACTCAGGACCTTTGTGCATGCTAAGATAACCAAGATGCTCACTTAGGTCACTGCCTGCCACCTAACCAGCAAGTTCAATAACCTGATTAGTCCTTGTTCTAACTGACTTTTCAGCCTTAGTTACCTCCTCTGCCTCTTCTCCCATCTCTGCCAGTACCTTCTCATTAGTCAGTGGCATGGAGGCAGATGACGTTTAAATGTTACTGTCCCCAGGACTCTGACTTCTTTCCCTGAACACTCCAGAGCTCCTGGGATGACTTCTCCACTAGGCCCTCCTGTGAGTTTTGTCTCCAACCAACTGTCCTTCCAGAGCCCTGGGCCCAAATTTCCACTTAGACATCCTGAACTGAGCTCCGTGTTGGCTCCCTGTGCCCCCTCCTCCCTGCATCCACCCAATCTCCCGAGCCAGTCCTCCCTCAGGCCCCATTTGTCCCCGAATTCCATGACTTCTGCACCATCTTGGCCTCAGATTGGGCCCTCGTGGCTCATCAGGACTCCTGCCCTCCCTCTGGCTGCATTGCTGCCTGCACCCTCCCCACACCTGAGCTCTTCCTAAGTGCTGCCAGGGTCTCAGACACACCTCTTCCTGTCCCTTCGGGACCCCATCCACACTCCTTTCCGTTGCAGGGTCTGACCCACTCTCTTGCCTCACTCCCCATC